CATGGCGTATGTATCCTCTGCAAGTCTCTTGGAGATTGCTTATAGGGTGCTTAATTTTCATCTCTAAGGAATTTGTCAGGAAGTGTGTAGAAGCCTAGTATAATTGACTTAACAAAAATTACTGTGAAACTGCTTCCTCATTCCTTCCAGAAGTTAATCTATGCTTATTTAGTACATGTTTGTCATGTGTTTTAGTTCAGCTGGCATTCTCAAGTTAATATATTGGGAATAAAAAAAGCTTTTACATAAATTTATTGTGGTCTTGGCTTCAAGTGATTTCGGTTTTAATCTGTGTAAGAGAAATTTATGGAGGCAGTGGATCCATGTAGCTGATGTCATCCAATTTGGGATTTTGAGTCTTAGTTGAGTTGAGCTGTACTTGTATTGATTCCAGGAAACCCCTATGATATCCATTTCATTTTCAGAATTCACCTTTACATGTCATGGAGTATTTCATTTTGGTGTTTCAAACCATGATTGACGTGAAAATGAAAGTTTAAAAATCACATGACGATAGAGTTGAATCTGACTTGCATCGTTCAGGATTTGTTATCTATCTGATGCACACAAATTTGCCCCTTGTTTAAGCTAATTGATGTGAAGTACATAAACCAGACCTCATCCTTTTGCAGTCCCTACTAGTCATATGTTTGTATTGTATGCAATACAGAATGGTTGATTCCACTCATGCTTGACATCTCGTACACCTATAACGTCTTTGCTTCTTCAATGGAGAAGAAATTTAAGCAAACAAAGCTTATTGTGTACTGTTGTCATTGTTTTCTAATGTGTTTCACATATTTTATAACATAATTGTTATGTGGTTCACCAGATCCGCAAAATGGTAGGGACAGCTGTGGCTGTAAAGCGGAAGGTACTTCCAAGAGATCTCATAATGTTGTCACTGACAAAGTTCTCAAGGATTGTTCTACCCCTTGCTCCATCTGAAGTTCTGATTTTGAGGGGAAACGATTTTTCCTTGAGAAAAAAATCTGGTGAAGGGAAAAGGCCTGGAATGGAGACAATGGTCGAATCAGAAGAGATTCTCAGGGCTGTGAATGAGTTCTATTCTACTATGATGCTACCTCAAGTTTCAAAATTCTTGGACCCTTGTAAGCCTCCCTGGAAGGAATGGGTTGAGAATTTGGACAAGTACACAAGCATTCCTGATGCACAATTGGATGAAGTCAGGATTGCTCGGAAAGTCTGGATGGAAAATTTTAAGATCAGGAAAAGCATTGAATCTGTTGTAAATCAGTGAAACGGGGTATAACACTTGTCATCTGACTTGTGATTTTTTTGACAGATTTTCACGACCCGGTTTGTTGTTTGTCTGATGTCTAACAGGGCGAATTATCTGTAATGCCAGAGCCTCTCTGTTTCCCTGTCTGTACCCTGGTGATTGGTTCTCACCAATAATATGAAATAACCATTTGCAAGGTTGCTTGAGCATGCACCTTACCATTTTGAGACGCTGCTTCTTGACTGGTCATCAAAATACCAGGGTAATACCCAGTTTCTGTTCGTGATGCTGGATTAGATTGTTCAGATGATCAAGTACTGATGCCACAGCACTGTGCTAAAGGCTGGGGGTCACACACTATGGTGGATCGCCCTTGCAACTTCTAGCATGTTAAAGTGGCTGATGGTTGCTGGGTCCATCACGTCCTCAATATGGGGAGAGATTGAATAGGCTGAACAAGAAACTTCGCAATCAAAAGTAAAGTGAAAGAGTTCTTGGCAGTTTTGGTGTCTTTTTTACCTTTAGCACATGAGATACTGGCTCAAAGCATGCTGTATCTTTCATGTATCATGCATAAATAGTTTTAAACGTGTAATTTCACAAATGTCGGGAGTCTTTATGCCATGATGAGTTTTGCTGTCTGATCTCTAGCTATCTTTTTTGTTCACTCTCCATGTCTTTTGGGGGTCCTAACCATCACGACTCTTTAAGTAGTTAAAACCTGCACGTAAGTGGAAGATTATTGCTTTGTGTTTTCATCAGTTGATAACTACATGTTTTTTTTTTATCTATGTAACTCTGTTTCTTCGTTGAAGAATAGTTTTAATTTTGAAAATAGTTTATGGAAAGTGAATTTTTAAAAATGAATTATTTTTTTATGTTTGACATGCGTATAAAAAATAAATTAAAAAATAATTTTTAGTGTTTATTCATGTAATGAAAAATAAGTTAAAAAATAATTTATTAATATTTTATTTTTTCAAGTTTCTTAAAAGAATAAGGATTAAATTTAACATGAGTGAAATTGAAATTAAAATTTATAAATTATTTTAAATAAAAAAAATAATAATTAAAACAACATGAATTAAATTTGATATATAAAAAAGTTAAGAGAGAGTGAAATTTAAAAAAAAAATTATAAATTATTTTAAATAAAATACATAATAATAAAAAATAAAAAATAAATTATTTCAAATAAAATAAATAACAATAATTTTTTTTTTTAAGTTTTGAAAAGTGTTTTTGAAAAAAAAAATTTTAAGGCCAATTTTTTTCTTATTTTAAGGCCATTTTCTTTTAGAAAATATTTTCCTTGAACCAACACTCTTTAAGCTACCAAACATTAAAAAGTGATGAAAGTGGTTTAGATGAGAATGTTCTTCTAGAAACAAAAGTGATAAATAATTTTACTCTCTAAGTTATCATCATGAGTTTAAATTAAAAAAGAACAAAAGAATATATAAGAAAAAAGTTAAATTAGTATTTCAATTTCAGTTCAAGCATTAGTTTTCATGTTCTTAAAAATATTTAGGTGCATGAAAAAGTTGCTCTATATGTATTTTTTAATATATATGATAAATGCATTATTATCTCAGGTTTGAATTAAAAAATATATATAACAAAAAATTGTATCTCAATTTAAATTTAAACATGGATTTGATTTAAACATGGATTTGATTTGCTCCATATTTGAGAAAATATATTTCATTCTTGAGAACGTATTATTTCAGTTCAGCTCCAGTATCTTGTAAAAAAACTTAAACTTGATTCAAGAATAAATTGATAAATTAAAAAAAAATTATGATATAAACTATATAAATATCATCATCATCATTATCATTATTATTTTATTAACACAATGAATGTTCAACTCAGATGCAATGACATTGACATATATATATATATATATATATATATATATATATATAATTGAAAGCTGCATTAAAATAGATTTGATATATGGTGGAAATTATTTGTTGCCTCAGACGTCAATTTCGTCTTTGTTTCATCCCCAGAAATCGTATTATGATGATATGGAAGGATTTTGTCGCCATAGCATATGTCTATCTATATATCAAAAATCTAGTCCAAGAATCAAAACATGGATTGAACATATTAACTCATACTGACTTTAGTATATTTAAAATAGTATTATTTTATTTTATTTAAAAAAATATCAAAAATAATTTTAAATAAATTAAAATAAAATTTAACTAAATTTATAGAGTAAAGAGTTGATCCACCAAGTAAATAAAATCAATTTTTATATTATTTTATTTAAAAATCAACCCAAATTAAGTTTTATATTAATAAATTATAAGTTGGTCTGACAAAATCAAGTTTAATAACAATACAGTAAAATCATGCTCTAAGGGGTCCTATGAATAAAAATAAAGAGTTAAATTCAAGAGTGAGATATGTTGAGTTTTGACCCATGGTTTAAAATTAGAAAAATAAAATTTAGCTATTGAGTAGGTCTTTACCTTTTAATTGATTAAATATTGCCCTCAATCATTATGATTATGCTCATTTTTACAATAAAATTAATAAATAAAAATAAAAATATTGATAAAAAATTTTATTTGTAGAGTGTCATTGAGAGATAAATCAACAAAAAAAAATAGATAATTTTTTTTACATGCTTTTTCTATCTGTAAATCCATCAGTCATTATATTATGAATAAACTTATAGACATAACATAAATGACCAACAATAAGTTTTTCAATAAAAAATAATTTTTATATAAAAAACATTCAAAATATGTTAGGGTATTGGTCATATACATGAAAACATTATATATATATGAAAACATTGTGTCAAAAACTAGATATTTTAAATACAAGATTTGTATTTTTACAATATAAAAATATAAAAAAATAAATACATAAAAAAACACTGATATTACTTATATTTTTAGGAGTTGGGTCCAGCTCAACTCATGTGGCTAAGTTGAACCAAACAGGCCTAGCCGGGTCACTAGGCCAAGCCAGTGACTCCACTAGGCACAAAGGCATGCATGGGTTTTCTCACGCATGCCTTGACTTGTTATTATTCAAGTGAATTAAATTTCTCTTGAACATTAAGAATGCAACCAAGAATGCATACAAAGCTGGTAAGAAACGAGAGACAACATACTTGGTGTCGCTACACAACGTCGGGCGACAGCTCCACTCTTTTTTTTTT